AAGAAAGAGAAAAGACAAATAACTAAAATCAGAAATGAAAGTGTGGCTATTACTATTGACCTTACAGAAATAAAAAGAACTCTCATAGCACACTATGAACAATTATATGTTAACAAATTAAATAACCTAGATGAAATGGACAAATTCCTAGAAACACACAAACTAATAAAATGACTTAAGATGAAAAAAAAACTATCAATAAACTTATATAGCAAGTTTATAGACAGCAAATAGAAAGTGAATTAATGATCAAAAGCTTCCCAGGAACTAAAATCCAGGACCAGATTGTTTTAATGGCCACTTCTACAAAACATTTAAATAAAAAAAAATTCTTCTACAACTCTTCTCCCCTCCAAAACCAGAAAATGAACAAGTGTGAGGGCAGCATTAACCTGATACCAAAGCCAGATAAAGACATGAGAAAATTACAAACCAATATCCTTCATAAATGTAAATGCAAAAATACTTAAGAAAATACAAGAAAACCCAAACCAAAATGTTAAAAGCATTTTACTTCATGGACAATAAAATTTATGTCTCAGGAATACAAGAGTGGTTCAATATAAGAAAATCAAAGGTAACATAGCATATTAAAAGAAGGATGAAAAAACCTCACATGATCATCTCAATATTCACAGAAGAGGCATTTGGCAAAATCCAATTTAAGTTCATGATAAAAATGAATGAGGTTTTGGAAATAGTGACAATTAGTGCAACCATTGTGAATATAATCCTCTTGGAATTGTATGTTTTAAAATGGCAAATTCTGTTATAGCTATTTTACCACAATTTTTTACAAAGACATAACACTGAAAAGGAAGTCATAAAATTATTTCTATTTGTAGATGATATGTGTCATATACAGAAAATTTTAAGGAATTCACTAAAAATCTATGAGAATGAATAAACAAGCCCAGCAAGGTTGCAAGGTACCAAGATCATTATAAAAATATTAGTTATATTTCTATAGTTAGCAAAAAGCTATAATAATAACAGTTATAACTATCCCAATAACAGTTAAGAAAACAATTCCCTTTATAATAATACAAATCTATAAAAATAATTATAAGACCTAAAAAAAATCCCAATAAGCTTCAAAAAACAATATTAATATATTACATATTAGACCCTCCTTTGGTTCTTGGAAGACTTTCAATAAATCATCTACCTAATTTTAAACATTCATTGTCTCAGGTACCAGGCTAGGAGCTGAATCATCAAAATTGAGTAAGATTTAACCATGTTGGTTAAGAATTTTATAACCTAGTAAAACGATCTAGTTAAAAATAATAACAATATAAGAAAAATGGTATAAAAGACATATGTGGCAAGATATTTTAAGAAGAGATAAGCTTTGTGGCTAAAGGCAGGGGAAGAAAAAAATAGTGAGATATCAGATGGGGTTACTTTTGAGCAGATAAAACAATGAACAAAATTCACCTAACAAGAATAGAGCTGGGATAGAGGAAAGAGAAGAGGCATTCTAGAAGGCATTTGCATTAACAGAGAAAATACAACATATTCGGACATCTGCACACACTCTGGCAAGGCCAGAGCATTGGGAGCCTGTCAGACAGGAGAGATGAATCAAGAAAGGTTATAGTACAAATCTTCAAAAACACTGTTATGTCATGCTAAAAAATCTGGAATTTAGGCAAGTGAAGAAGGGATACAATCAGAGAGAATATTGGCTTTCAGGTTTACATTGGGGATAGTGGGTCATAACTCCCATTTCCAACATTTCTGAAGCTAATTAATCATAATGCTTTTGCTAAACCCAGACACTGAATTCTCAACACAATGGCCCACACTGTCCTTTCAGAGTGAACACAGTAATCTGTGACTTATCTCTGTTTTAAAATACTATTTAGGTTGGGGAGGGAAGGATGCAAAGATATGTGCTAGAAGAAAAGAAATCAGCAAGAGTTTAGATTTGAAATAATGTAGGCCTGAAGTAAAGGAGCAGTTATCAGTGGAACTGAAAGAATAAATTCAAATAATTTAACAGAGACCAAGGATAACAATCAGGTTTCTTATTTTAATAACTGACATATAAGAGAAGAGAAATAAATTCTAACATGCTAAATATGATGGCCCAGTCTTTCAGGTAGAGGTTTCTAGTTAGGGGAATCTGGAGGTCAGCAGGGAGACCTGAGATGAAGATAAATATTAGAGAGTCATTGAAGTCACAAGGGTTGAGAATATGGCCCAGCATTAAGTACAAAAAGAGAGCGAGAAATGGAGAATAAAACCACAGGGAACAGGGCGGTGCTTGTGGCTCAAAGGAGTAGGCCTCATATAAAGGAGGCGGTGGGTTCAAACCTGGTACCAGACAAAAACTGGAAAAAAAAAAAAAAAAACCCACAGGGAACAGCAATAACTAATGGTTAGTAAAGGAAGAATATAGGATATCGTAGGCATTTTACTTATGTGACCACATTTAATTTTCACAATAACACAAGGATGTATGTGTCTGTATTCCTTATTTTACAGATATGGAGAGAGATTAAGCAATTTGTCTTAGGACATGCAGTCATTATACAGTAAAGTCACTATGCACATTCACATGACCCTGAATCCAAAACAGTCTTTCTTTTACACTAGAGTGCTTTAAAATTAAGAAGAAATTGTCTTGGCCTTGTATTTCTTTCTTGTATCCTTTAATATAATGGCATGTATACATATCTGCTCTCAAAGAAGTTAACAACTAAATTAGAAATGAGTCCAAATATATCAAGTTTTAGTCACTTCCAATAAAAGTTCCATACTAAAAGTAAATATATAACAAAATTAATAATGGTGGTATTAGCATGGGATTCAAGGAATCCAGAGCTGGACTATTTCTGCTTAAATCTAAGTCTTACCACCTGCTGTGTGAAGAATGAAAAAATATTAAAACATTTCATTGTAAATATTTACACAATTAGCTATAAACACATCTCCTTGCCTCTTGGGTGAATGGCCAATCAATTCTTCTTCATCTTATTTGATGTCAGAGATCTCTCTAACAGAAGATACAAACTAGCTCCTGCCAAAAAACATACAATCTTCATTTTAGGAGGGTCACAGATCTCCTTCAGACTATATGTTTAAAATACTGGTTTAAGTCAATCTATAGGCAGGTCAATAACTTCTCTCTGCCTCCTCTTCACAGGACCATTATGAGGATTAAATGAGCAAATATTAAGTATTTAGATTAATAGCTGGCATACAGTAAGCACCCTTTTTTCCTCTAGGAATCCCCAGCCCAGGCCCGCCAAACAACAATGATGGCTGCAACCAAAAAATGGCCGGGTGTTGTGGCGGGCGCCTATAGTCCCAGCTACTTGGGAGGATGAGGCAGGAGACTCGCTTGAGCCCAGGAGTTGGAGGTTGTTGTGAGCTGTGATGCCACAGCACTCTACCCAGGGGGATAGCTTGAGGCTCCGTCTCAAAAAAAAAAAAAAAAAAAGAGTTACATTAGTTAATATTTACAAAAAATTAAAACAATGTTTGAATTATAGGGAATGCTATATAAATACAGGTAATCAAGAGAAAATGTTTAGGGACTTTAAAGGAGGTACTTGCAAATGAGTCAATATGTAATCTAATGGTTTATGGAACAAATAATTCTGACCCAGGGGTATCACGAAGCATAGCACCTAGTAACAAAACCCCCCCATATTCCATCATAAGAGTGCTATGAACATAACAGATACTGCATGATTTTATTGAGGAAGGCACAGGAGAAAGTAAAGACATGCGAAAACAGGTAAAATTAAAAATAAAAACGGGGAGTTTGGTAGGTTAAAAAAAAAAGTAGCAAGAACCAAGTAATTGAGTTTAGAAGTAAAAGAGCTCAAAACTTATGAGGTTTACAATCCCTAATAAAGCAGAAGTATCATTTAAACTTTTTCTTAAAAAACTAAAGAATAAGTATCAATAAAGGGCCAAATTTTCTAACTGTGACTGTTAAAACATATCAGCTATGACATACACATGTATACACAGTATCTGTGGGCATGTATATACAATACTGGCTTAATACTAAGTAGCCTCCCACGATACATGCTTTGTCATGAAAAAAAATTTAAGGAAACTCAATCTTAGTGAAAAATGATTAAAAATTATTATATCAGAAAAGAGTTATGTGAAATAACAAGAATACTGGGCTACATTAAGAGGCATTATGGATCTAAGAACATTAGATATTACATGCATGAAATCTAAAGTTTAAAATATCAAGTAAACTTATCCAAGTTATATTTATTTAGCCAAAAAAAAAAAAAAAAAAAAATCAAGTGGTATGTTATCTACCCTGCCTCTTCACTCTAAACCAGTGAAGGAAAGAAGAGTGTAAGGAAAGACTGAATCTGGGAAGAGGGGATAGTGATGAGCAGAAATAAAAAGACCAAGGTAGTTACTGCATCTTCTGAAAAGAAAGGAGGTGCGGGGGGTGGGGTGAATCCACAGCACAAAGTCTTCTTAGCATTTGCTTTCACAGAATTCAATGTGATCAGAAATAGTGACCACTTATAATAAGCTCTGTAATACTATCTTTCAATTTTTTTCCCTGGCTAAAGATAAGTTAAACTTGCTTTCCAATGTTTAACCCTCATTCTAGTTCTACCAAATTCTTCTTGCTTCCTTTCTCCTCTAATTAACTTCACTTAACAAAATGAAATAATTTTCCTCCCTCAAACAGGTTAACTATTAAAGGGCTCCATAAACACACAATGAACACAGAAGTCTTAATAAAATACATAAATTTGCTTGAGAACTGAAGACATGTATTTTTAAAAGAAGAAAATTCTTAATTCATTCCCTTTATTCCTCTCATTAACATTTTTGTGATGTAACTGACGATATTTGATGACAATATTTTGGGCTCAGAATGACTGAGACCTGTGCTTTGGAATCCCTCCATTCAATTAACAAAAGTGTCTCACAAGGAAGGGGGTACTAAATTTCTAAAAGAATAACAAGTTTATCATAATAATATGTAACTCTGTAAGACCTACCTTCTCACCACTGGAGTAGAAGAAATAACGCAATCGCACTATGTTACAGTGATCTAGTTTTCTCATGATCTGGAGCTCTCGGTTCTGAAAAGGCAAATGAAATGTTATTTTAAAACATGAAAATGTTTTTTTAACGATAACAGCTATTCATCATATTAATCAATATGCTTCTGAAATAACATTAAACACTACAAACAGCAGGCTATAGATAAACGCTACTTAAAAGTATGATTTGTGTAATGGTATTGATCTGCAAACTATTTATTGCTCTGCAATAAGATAAATACAGAAATTCAGAGTGTTTAGAATGTTTTTTACATTAATTTGACAGAATACATTTTTATTTATGAGTATGATAGTAATAATTAGGACCTTTATTTTGTTTTTAAAATTTCACTTTCCTAGCAATTCATTTATATTGTATTTCACAAAAATAATAGTCCTTGATGAATTGGAAATTGTTAAAACTGGTACTCTACCACAAATAGCTTGAAAAGCACTGGTATAAAGTAGGTAAGAGATCTGAAATGAACTGTTACTAGCATAAGTTTTTGTTGGTAAAAAAAACAAACTTCTCACCAAAAAAATGATTTGGGGGTTAAAGAACACTCTTACAATCCTATTGTTTCTTCAGATAAATGGGCAAAAAAAAAAAAACCCAAAACAAACAAAAAAAAACCAAACCAGCATTAACTCCATTAAAAAGGGCTTAGTTGCTATGTTTTCGAAGTTAAAATACAGCATACTAGAAACTGCACAGTCCTGATAGATGTGTAGACCACACAAATAACTTTCCCTTTGGCAACTTTCAGTTATATCCATTCTTCATGGAAAAAACAAATGCTAATTAATAAGATTTCTTAACACGACAGACTTTGCGGTAGTAAATTTGAATAGATTCTATATTAACAAAGAGTATGTATTCCAACAATATACTTGGCTGCCAAAAATCTAGTTAATAAAATCATATAACACATGGAAAAAATACCAAAATACCAGCTTCGTGGTCAGAAAATTAAGTTTTAGTTAAAACAATAATTTAGAAGAGCTATAAAACACGAAATATACAACTGGGAATCTATAAAGAAAATGGTGTTGTGGCTAGAAAACTGGGGAAAAAGGAGGGGGGACACACAGGGGTCAAGGAACTAAGTAAATAAATAGAACTATCCTAGAACAGGGTGGCCTCCAGTTCTTAGAGAATGAGAGCGAAAATAAGTGACTTTTCCTTTAAACTGATCTTCAAAGCTGGCCTGATACGTAGTGATACTTAAAATCCTTTTCTAGGGCATCAATCTTTCATTCTATTATTTGTTATAAAATGATTTTTAATGAAGCAATGAACAGAAAGTCAGCATAGTACAATTGATTTAATAAAAATAACTGAAGCTTGACTCTGTAGACTGCTGCAGAGAGAAAGACACAGAAAACTTTATCAATTTCAAAACCGTGTCCAATTCAATTCCAGATTGATGCTATTTCAGCAAGTATTTCTATACCTTGCCAATTCACATTTAGGTAGCTAGTTTTGCAGGAGAACTGCTAGTAAGTCTAGACTCATTCGTCTCATTGTACATAGCTATTACGATTGACTGTTTTAATATAGATAACTATACTAAAGTAAGTTTTCTATTTTCCAGACTTAATAACCAAGGAAACAGAATCGTATTAAATTCCCAGATAAAAGAAGTTGTCTAAGATTCTTTTAATCAAAAGGAAGCAAGTACAAAAACCTAAACATTCATCTACATTTACTCTCCTGTGCACCTTATTACTTTAGAAAGGAAGCTTACATTTCCTCATTTAAAAATTCCCTAAAAGATCCAAAATACGAATTTCATTGAGCAATTTTTAGAAGTATTAATTAAGATGATGTCAGACAAAGTTTCATGCCTGATGTCTTTAAATACACAACTATCCCAATGAACCATTTTTACTGAGTCATACATTTAGTTGACTAATAACATACTAATTCTATAGGATAAATGGTATTCCATAAATACAGCATACTGTATTGTGCTACCCACTGTTCAGTGTTAAGAATATCACAATACAGTAAGTAAAGCAAGTAGACAGCCCTCAGAATGGGAAAAGATATTTGCAGGTTATGTCTCAGACAAAGGTTTAATAACCAGAATCCACAGAGAACTCAAACATATTAGCAAGAAAAAAACAAGTGGCTTGGTGCCTGTGGCTCAAGTGGCTAAGGCGCCAGCCACATACTCCTAAGGTGTCAGGTTTGAATCCAGCCTGGACCCGTCAAACCCACACTGTCATGTGTGCCCTCAAAAAATAGCCAGGCGTTGTTGTGGGCGCCTGTGGTCCCAGCTACTTGGGAGGCTGAGGCAGGAGACTTGCTTGAGCCCAGGAATTGGAGGTTGCTGTGAGCAGTGAAGCCATGGCACTCTACCCAGGGTGGACAGCTTGAAGCTCTGTCTCAAAAAAAAAAAAAAAAAAAAAAGAAAAGAAAAGAAAAGAAAAAAACAAGTGATCCCATCTCAGGGTGGGCAAGGGACTTGAAAAGAAACTTCTCTAAAATAGGCGCATGGCCTACAGATATATGAAAAAATGCTCACCATCCTTAATCATCAGAGAAATGCAAATCAAAACTACTTTGAGATATCACCTAACTCTAGTAAGATTAGCCCATATTACAAAATCCCAAAACCAGACATGTTGGTGTGGATATGGAGAAAAGGGAACACTTCTACACTGCTGGTGGAAATGCAGACATCTGTTCCTTTTGGAAAGACATCTGGAGAACACTTAGAGAACTAAAAATAGACCTGCCATTTGATCCTGCAATTCCTTTATTAGGGATATATCCAGAAGACAAAAAATCATATTACAACAAAGATATTTGAATCAGAATGTTTATTGCAGCCCAATTCATAATTGCTGGGTCATGGAAGAAGCCCAAGTGCCCATCGATCCATGAATGGATCAATAAACTGTGATATTAGGTATACCATGGAATATTATGCAGCCCTAAAGAAAGACAGAGACTTTATCTCCTTCATGTTTACATGGATGGAGCTGGAAAACGTTCTTCTTAGTAAAGTTTCTCAAGAATGGAAGAAAAAGTATCCAACGTACACAGCCCTATTTTGAAACTAATTTATAGCTTTCATAGGAAAGATATAACCTAATTATAGCCTTAGAATACGGGGAGGGGGGAAAGAGGGGAAGAGAAGGTAGGGTGGATGGGTTGAGGGAGGGTGATTGGTGGGGTCACCTCTATGGTTTATCTTACAAGGGTACAAGTGAATCTTTCTAAAAGCAGAGTATGAATGTCTTAATAACTAAGAAAATGACATGAAGGCTATGTTAACCAGTTTGATGAGAGTATTTCAAATTGTATATGAAAACATCACACTGTACCCCATGATTGCATTAGTGTACACAGCTATGATTTAATAAAAAAAAAAAAGAATATCGCAATAAACAGATCTAACAACATTCTTACTTTCATGAAACTTACAGTAGAATCAGAGAAAAAAATACAATAGAAGGGGCTATATTTTAGGCAAGGAAATCAAATAAGACTTCATGAAGAAAATAAGATATGAACATAAAAACCTGAATGCTATGAAAGTGAGAAACATGTGAAGATCTACGGGAAGAGCACTGTGGTTATAGAGAATAACAGATATAAAAACCAAGAGGTGAGCTCAGCATCTTCAAGAAACAGCCAGAATAAATTAGGCGTATCATTCTGAGTAAGGGGAGAGAGACAGTAGTTAAGTTCAAAGACACAGGCTGAGGCAACATCATATAAACCTTCATCAATTATGGTAAGAAACTGAATTTCACCCTTAATGGAGGTTTTGACCAGAAAAAAGTGAAACGTGAATCAGATTTACTTTTCAAAAGAACATTTAAAAAATTGAAGAGAATAAATGTGAAGGAGAAAGTAGATCAAGAATTTTGTTTTCTATTTATTGAGTTTTATATCCTTATTTTTAGATATCCGTATGAGGCTCAGGGTAGAATCTGGGTCAGGAAAAAATGCATTTGGGGGTCATCTGCATGAAAAAAATATGCATGAAGTGAAGAAAAGTGAATAAAATAATGAAGTAGGATGAAAAACAGTAGGATGTTATCTTACAAGCCAAATTTTAAAAAGTTTACAGAAAAAGTGAGTGATAATGTCAAAAGCTATTGAGAGACTGAGTAACATAAAAACAGAAAAATGACAATTGATACAGCAAATGCAAGACCTAGGTGAGTCTTACAAGAATAGTTTTAGTAGAACAGTGAAGAAAAAACATGAGTACATTAAATTAAAGTGGGTGTATATAGGACACAGGTACTAAGTAGTTAGGAAAGTTTAGAAAAAGGAAAAGACTTCCAGCTACAATTGAATGAAGAGATCAGCAAATTCAACCCTCTAAAATACCTATAAATGAACCACACTATAGAAAATAACCATTTCAGAGCTCTGGAAATTTCAGGGCAAGAACAAACTGAAAAGCATTTATTTATAAAAAGCTGCTAGATATTAAAGTTAGAATGGTAGAGGAATACTGTCAAGGGATGCTACTGTCTCTAACAGTACCACCCAATTCAGTCAGTGAGAGAGTTTTAGGAGAGCACAGAATTTTTCTTCTAGAGGGGCTATCATTCAGGACAGAGATCAATGCAAAAACCCCATGTCAAATATGCTGGCAATTTATAACAAATTTGATAGGAAAAACAAAGAGGGAAAGCCCACAGCTCTGCTACATTGAGGCTACAGTCCCAGGTGGAAAAATGACAGTTTGGTAGGACACCCAGAAATTTAACAGAGAGATCCTGGGAATGAGAGAGACATAGAGGACCAACATAACCTCCTCATACAACTCTGGCTGACTGACAGATTATGCATACAAACAGGGGAGACCCAGGAGAGCCTCAGAGAAAGTAAAAACTAAGGCCAATTTGAAAACTGTCTGAATTTTCAACATATTCCTAAATCCACATAAAAAAAAATGATGAGTCTTAGAAACTTAAGATATTAAACAACAATCTCTAAAGCAATGACTGGCTGATCACTAAGCTATGCAGACAAAGGAAGTTGATCTCTAGGAAGTCCACTTGAAAAA